ATCTCTAAATGTTGCAGCTCATAAGACTGACATACAAGTAAAATAAATACATAAATAAATAAATAAAAAAACACCAGCACAAGCTTGTTAGGTGCACAAAAGCACATGCTACGTGGTGTGAATGAACTGTAAACCAGTGCATTATAAGCATGCACAATTCTTTTTCTTACATCTGTTGTTGATGTAGTTTATGCTTGGTAAGATTTTGTACACCTTAATATGGCTTCTGCTTATCCAAGGTTATTTGTTAAGGCAGTGCAAGAAACACTGACAATGCACAAAGTATATTAACTTATAGCAGCCTTGACAACCTTATTAATCGCTGAATAATGACCACGAATAATGTACATTGTTTTTTCCACTTTCTTTAAAGCCCTGCTATGTTGCAGTTGGTAATAAAACAAAAAAGTACTGTGCCTTGTTTTACATTTTCTCTGGATTACCCTACCTAAAGACTGGGCAGTTCTGTTTAACATATAACAACTAATGATTTAGCGCTGTATAACATAAAGTTTTCTATAACACCACAAAGCAGTAGTGTACATTTTTAAAAAAAATGTAATAAACATACTCGTATTTTTTTCCCTTTACTGTAAGTATTTTTAAACATAATGTCTATACATTTTTATTTCAAAGAGTAATTTTTGTACTTTACTTTCAATTATACAGATTTTTTCATTAAGAAAATACACCTGGTTATATTTACAATGTACAATAAATAAGTTGTTCTACATAATAAGGCAATACACAGCATGGTTCATTCTTTTGTGCAACTGCATCAAGTCATATAATTCAATAAAGCACAACATTATTATGGATCTCAAACTGTATTGTCATTAACTAGTCTTGTACTTAACCATTATGTATTGTGCTCATGATATGCTAATATATGAGCTGGACAATAAATAGAAAATCAATTAAGCTCCCCCATAATAATAAGCACATGTGGCACAAGGAAATAGAATAATTACAACATATAACATTTTTTTATTGTTTAAAGAGACTCTGTCTTTTATAAAAAAAAAAAAAACTGCTAGTACGTATATAGCATAGGCAACTAGAGATGCCTACAAATGCCTTCAGCCACTTTTTCTGACGTCTAATTTGCCCCAGTACAGACCAGCTCTAAACAGGCAAAATTCCTATTGACAATGAAAACCAGCGCAAACCCACATGATCAATTACATTACTCAGTGTAAAAAAAACATTAATGTACTAATAAAATTATATATAATAAATTATATATAAATTATGTTGATACAAAGATATATATATAAAATTATGAGTCCAGTGAAAAAACAAAGTGACAAAAAATCAGAAAAATCCCAGAAAGTATATATATATATATATATAATTAAAGTCCCGTGACAAAATTAATCAAATTAATTTATAATATATTTTCCATATGATTCTTCCGTGTTACGGATCCCTTCACCATCCACCAGTGCAGAAATCAACATTAACCGCACTCACCAGATAATGGTGAGTCACACGCCTTTCAGGATTGTTAAGGGCTCCTGGACCCCCTTTACTTTCTCTGAGACCTCCAAGTGCTGTTTCCTCTCATGTCTAGGTACCTCTTCTGCTTACTCCCTCTCACCGAATCCCCCAAAGGAAAATCAGGAAGAAGAAAAGACCATAGCGTGATACCGCAGTAACTTCTCCTCAAATTAATCTCTCCAGACCACTCACATTCTTTTGCGGGATATAGCCCGCTTTTTATTCAAAACAACAGCGATTCTCTTCAAAATTGATCCACTTTTCATGTACACCGATTATATAAGGATTATATAAGGACCCCACAGTTTAGTGTGCAGCAGGATGGCAGACCTCAGCTACAGACTCTTCTCCTTAGACTAAGATGGCCCCTTGGAACGCACCGCTCGGCGTGCGCTCCACTCACCGGAAATGACGTCAGACGACGGACCAGGCAACCGGAAGTGCGTCAACCGCACTTCCGGTTGCCTGGTCCGTCGTCTGACGTCATTTCCGGTGAGTGGAGCGCACGCCGAGCGGTGCGTTCCAAGGGGCCATCTTAGTCTAAGGAGAAGAGTCTGTAGCTGAGGTCTGCCATCCTGCTGCACACTAAACTGTGGGGTCCTTATATAATCCTTATATAATCGGTGTACATGAAAAGTGGATCAATTTTGAAGAGAATCGCTGTTGTTTTGAATAAAAAGCGGGCTATATCCCGCAAAAGAATGTGAGTGGTCTGGAGAGATTAATTTGAGGAGAAGTTACTGCGGTATCACGCTATGGTCTTTTCTTCTTCCTGATTTTCCTTTGGGGGATTCGGTGAGAGGAGTAAGCAGAAGAGGTACCTAGACATGAGAGGAAACAGCACTTGGAGGTCTCAGAGAAAGTAAAGGGGGTCCAGGAGCCCTTAACAATCCTGAAAGGCGTGTGACTCACCATTATCTGGTGAGTGCGGTTAATGTTGATTTCTGCACTGGTGGATGGTGAAGGGATCCGTAACACGGAAGAATCATATGGAAAATATATTATAAATTAATTTGATTAATTTTGTCACGGGACTTTAATTATATATATATATATATATACTTTCTGGGATTTTTCTGATTTTTTGTCACTTTGTTTTTTCACTGGACTCATAATTTTATATATATATATCTTTGTATCAACATAATTTATATATAATTTATTATATATAATTTTATTAGTACATTAATGTTTTTTTACACTGAGTAATGTAATTGATCATGTGGGTTTGCGCTGGTTTTCATTGTTAAAAGTTTTTGGTCTTTTGTACCTGTGCACAGCAGCATCTCACGGGGTTTTATATGGTAAATAGGAAGTCCTGAGCGCTGAGGTTTTGTTTTTTTTAAAAATTCCTATTGGCCTACCACTATGACAGAATGCTGAATCAGCCAATAAGGGATGTGATGTGTGAGGCAAGAATGGGTTGGGCAAACTCTATCACTACCAGCTTTGCCTGTTTAGAACACCCAGCCACTTAGCTAAAGCAAAGGACAATAAGAGCTTTTGCAGACATATACCTGTATTTTATTTGTATTGTATTTTATACCTGCTAGATGGTTTCTGTTTTTAAGTGACATAGTCAATTTATTTATATAAATGGCTGAATTTCTAATAACATACAAAATGTGAGCTCACAAGATTGGTTCTCCTATTGCTACAGACTTTTAAAAACTTAAATATATGTTTATGGTGGAAATTTCAATTTATAGTAAGCATGTTTATTGTGTAGACAAAATATATTCTACTAAAGACACAGAGTTCATCAAAAACTTTTAAGTGACAGATTCTCTTTTTTTAAACTGTTAATTCTAAACTATTGATTTAGAAGCAGCAATTTTAGAATGATCAAACCATACAGAATATTAACTAAAATTATGAAATTACTTTTACATTTAAATAAATTAAATAAGTTCCATTCAAGTGTGAAGTTGTGAAGTGCAAATTTTAAGAATTGTACAAATAGTTGGTTTTTGCAAACCACTCATTTTGTGGTTAAAAGACCCTTTTAAGTGAAATAACTTTTACTAGCCTGACCTAAACAAAATGCTAATACCAAACATTTGTATTTTATTGTTTTTAGTTTAAGTTATGGCTTTCAGGTGTTGATATGTTACTGTTTAAAGCATATCTAAACCAAGAACATAATATTGCTGCGTACAACTACTTAGATTTGGTGCTTGTCAAGTAGACATGAGGACATCTTAATCCATAATTAAGCCCTTTGTGGGGTGAAATATGTTGGAACAGGAGATGGACAGGCAAGACTATCTGTTGTGAATTCTCTACTTATTATATTAAAGCTAGTTTTACATAGGTGATGGCATCAGTGTGTAGCCCATTCATTTCTACCTGATAAGCCGAAGAGCTGATATGGATGAGCTCTTGGGTGTGCACCTGATGAGAGATGAAGATACAAGAAAAGAGGCAAGTTTGATGCAGCATAGCTACTATTGATTCCACAAACTTAGATGAGGTGGCTGCATTAATTTCCACCTGGTAATTTGGAGAGTAAAACACTTCCTATCCCTGGGTGACTATGATTGGTCCTCTACCATATCTATGGAGGAAACCATGGTTGATATCCAGGCTGTAAATCAAACCTGTCATCCTCACTTCATCTCCATTACATGGGAGGTGAGAAGATTAGTATCTTACAGAAGAAAGATAACACTGGTTGAGCTTTCAGTTCACGAAGTGACAAGGGTTTCTGACAAGATCAAAAGATATGTTCTATATTCACAAAATGTTCTGAAAAATGAAAACCAATGCAGCTACTACATCTAAGTACTGGTAAGCAGCAATTATTATTATATTTTTGGCTCTTGGGTTTAGCAATCCTTTAAGCTCCCTTGGCAAAACAATACTGGTGGTTATAGAAGTAAGCTTTTGTTATGTTTTTTGGCTCATTTACAAATATGGCTGTTCATTTTGGTCATGTTAATTAATTATTACTTTCAAAATTACATAATGATATAATACTTCTACTGGAAAAGTAGAGTATATTAATTATACAATGATTTTTCACAGTTTATATCTGATACTTACTGTTGTCCACAGATAGACTTGCAGGAGATGAAGAGAATAAACCATGCATCCACAAGATTTGTAGTTCTGCAAACCTTTCTCTGTTTTATAAAAAAATCCATAAAACTTTTTGATTTCTATTATGACATTAATTTTCGACCTTAATCATGTCACCCTGATGTCAACCCTGTATGCTATTCAATAAATTACATGTGTAACACAATAATTAATATATTAGATACAACATACAAGTGTTGCTGTGCCAGAGAAAATATCAACTGTGGGCAGTGACAAACCTTTATTAAAAAGTGCTTGGATACTATACTGTATAGACCCTACATACTGTAAATACAATCATAACCCTTAAGTCAAATGCCATCAGTGAATTAAAGCCCTGTAGTTATCTGTGTAACTTCTGAAGTCATGTCATCTCCCGCAGGAACACCTGAATCCAGAGATGACATTTCCACGGCTAGTCATACCTGATGGTTAGTCCTATCCACTGTGTTGGCAGTGGACACATGGTCACGGGTATTGTGACGCAAACGGGTTGAGTTTTGCTGCTCAATGGTTGAAGTTGTTGGAATGCAAAATTCTCTGAAACACCGCTTAAAGTTTTCATCCAGAAAAGCATAAAGGACTGGATTAAGGCAGCTATTTGTGTAACCTAGAGCAATGCATACATGCCAGGTCACTGTCTGAAAGAGAGAAGGAGGGATATTGATCAAAGCTTTAATTATCACATAAATGTGGATAGGAGTCCAGCAGACTATGAACACTGCTACTACAACCAATACCATCCTGGTGATTCTTCTTAGATTTCTATCCTTCTCTTTGGAGCCAGACAGCATACGGACACTCTTGAGTCGTAAGATCATCATTCCATAACATACAGTGATGATAAGGACAGGCATTATAAATGCAAAGATAAAGACACAGATTTTTAGAAGGTTGTCCCAGTACCATGATGGATGGGGAAAGATAAGAGCACAATCGGTAGATCCTAGAGAAAGTTTAATAGAAATATGTTAATAAACATTTTTTTTTAAATAAGGCTATTTAAAAACTGTTCATTATATAACTATGGCAAAATACATAATTTGCTAATTATTAAATGTATGGAAGTCTTTCTTTAATTGTAAGATTAAAAGTTATTGGCTATTTAATAATATTAAGTATCTAGATCAAAAAATGTACCTATGCAGCCCAGTACTGTATTCAATATATTATATTATAAATTACAATGGCACTATACAATGCTAACTCAATGAATATTAAATATTAAGGGAACCAAAGAAAAAAATAGGGGAGGGCATTGAATTGTTCTGTTTCCACCTCATAGATTAAATATAAATATAAAAGAATTGATTTTATTTAAAGTGTCCATGTGCATTGTACACACCCTTCTGAAGAAGCAACTTCTACGATGAAACACGTAAAGGGTATGGACATGATGGCCAACTTGTGATTCTTCTGGTTTGCCTGGAAAACTTGTCTATCATACCATAAGATATAGTGAAGCAGTTGGTAAGGAATTACAGAAGTGTGACTACACATAGATTTATGGCATTTGTCCTATCAACAAGCAAACACATGGCAAACATTTTAGGGCATTGACAAGAGTCCATATGTTTTAAGACGGTGGAAAAAACTGACATGTAGTCTGTATAGCAACATGTTTATTGGCTATGAGCTGAATTTGCCTTGATTGCTACTGCTTGCCCATGTTGTTATTGTGAACACCCGTGCAAGTCATTTCTGTTGTACTGCTTTAAAACAATAAAAGCACTACACAGTGCACATCTCAAATCCAGGTTATATTGGTAGGCATATAATCAGGGCTCAGTGAAGAAGACTCAAATTGGAAAGTAGAAGGTGAAAAAATTAATGAAAAACTAGATGATAATGTAAATAAATATCAATAGATTCACAGTTTAATGAAACATGTCAATGTATCCACAAAAGTGGTTGTATAGTGGTCATGGGTACCCAGGCACTATAAAATGACAGCTGTTCTACACAGAGAGTCCAATGCTGCTGGGTGGCCTAAAAAAGGGGGGCTGCAGAGACAAGCAAAACATAAAAAAAGCCAAAAAACCTGCGCACAGACTATAGAGGTTGATTTACTAAAGTTGGAGAGTGCGAAATCGGATGCAGCTCTGTATAGAAATCAATCAGCTTCCATTTTTTTTTCAAAGCTTAACTGAACAAGCAGTAGTTAGAAGCTATGTCTGGGAAAAAAATGCTGGGAGTGGATTCCTGTTCTCAGATGACCCAGGCCTTTTCTAGACACCTCTTTACTTTTTTAAGCTCTGTACCTTTCAGCTGCCCAGTGGAAGAGTCGTGCACTTTTGGTGGAGCAACGCCCGTTCCTTCCTATCACCAAGTGGAATTTCTCCTGCTCAGCTCTGCACCATCTGAGGACCTTTTTTTGATCAGGGGAACATCTCTATCATTTCCATTTCGATGATCACTCCACGAGCCTAATGATTACTACACTGCACATTTAATGTGCACATCTGGTTAGTGTGTATTTATACTGCAAGTCACCTTTGTTGGGACTTTTTTAAACAATATTTACTTATTGTGACATATTTTTATGCATTTGTTTTTTTATGTTTTATTTTAGCGCTGCACTTTATTTATACGTTTATGTGAGGATTTTTTGGTTATCCTATGTGCCTAGCTGCTTTAACTCTAAAAGCGCTCACTTATTTCTTTACTTATATAGTAGTTAGAAGCTGATTGGCTACCATGCACAGCTGCACCAGATTTTGCACTCTCCAGTTTTAGTAAATCAACCCCATAGTGTAATATTGCTAAAAACAATGGGTTGATTTACTAAAACTGGACAGTACAAAATCTGGTGCAGCTTTGCATGGTAGCCAATCAGCTTCTAACTTCAACTTCCAAAAAACTGGAAGTTGATTGGTTTCTGTGCAGAGCTGCACCAGATTTTGTACTCTCCGGTTTTAGTAAATCAACCCCATAGTGTAATATTGCTAAAAACAATGGGTTGATTTACTAAAACTGGACAGTACAAAATCTGGTGCAGCTTTGCATGGTAGCCAATCAGCTTCTAACTTCAACTTCCAAAAAACTGGAAGCTGATTGGTTTCTGTGCAGAGCTGCACCAGATTTTGTACTCTCCAGTTTTAGTAAATCAACACCAATATTAATTTTTGTCATAAGAACAAAATGCAGTCTATGGGAAAAAACTAAAACAAAGTGCACTCACAAATGCACCAGGAGGCAGAGAGTATAACTCATATATAACTCAGGAAGCCTCATTGGGCTATGCAGAGGTGAAATGCTGCAGAAGCCAAGACCCCCGAGCTGAAGAGAAGGAAACACTGCTGCTGTCAATAAAAGCCCACTCAACTGTATGACATAGTCATGAAATAGTGCAAGGGGTGGAATGCATTTCTGACAGATTTCCTCTTTCTTCAGCCGCCTAAAGAAGTCGTACCAGGCTATGCAGAAGGGAAATGCTGTAAAAGTCGGGACCACTGAGCTGCACAGAGAGAGACACTGCTGCTGCCACCGAAAGCCTGCTTGCCTGGATGACATTTTTGTGGAATAGTGCCAGGGGTGGAATGCATTTTTTGAGGGATTTCCTCTTTCTTCATCCTCATTTCACCCCTTGCACTATTGCATATGGATGGCATCCATGTGAGAAGGCTTTTACTGACAGCATCAGTGTCTCCCTCCATGCAGTGTAGCAGTTCTGGCTTCTGCAACATTTCCCCTTTGCAAAGCCCAATGAGTCTTCCGTAAGACTGGCTCTCAATGCTACACCAGAGTGGCTCACCTGCTTCCTTGGTCATGTTATACGCTCTTCCTCCTGGTGTGTTTGTGAGTACATTATGTGTTTTTTTTGATATAATAAGTACTTATTTTTTTAGCAATACCACACTATAGTCTGTGTGAAGATTTCTTCTCTTTGTTTCTGCTTTACTGCTTTGTCTATTGATGCTTAAAGTACTGAGTGCATGCTAAACGCTGCACTTTCATACTTGATCCATGCATTTGATTTATGCTGCCTAATACATTTACAGTTACACATGTGTATGTTGCACCTGCTTAAATCAACAAACTCAACTTACTGCACATGAACTCCATATTATAAATGAATCAGCACTACCACTGGCAGATTTATATCAAATTTGAACTAAAGAGGAAATCATTTATTTTGGATGGCAGGCTATATGCTATTTTATCATAACACTTTAGATGGTCTATTTCAGGGGTGTCAAACTGGTGACCCTCCAGCTGTTGCGAAACTATAAGTCCCATCATGCCTCTGCCCTTGGGAGTCATGCTTTTAACTGTCAATCTTGCAATGCCTCATGGGACTTGTAGTTTGGCAACAGCTGGAGGGCTGCCAGTTTGACAACTGTGGTCTATTTCAATTGAAACAATTCAAGTTTAATATATACCAATGTTTAGGCATTAGTTCCCAGAATCTCCTGGAGAAGATCTTTACAGACTAAGTAATTATTGTTTGATTTATGCAATTATGGACATTAGTTGCCATGCTATATTTCAATACCTATTTATTAAATGGAGTTCTGATGGTGGTTTGCTGTCATCTTGCTGTGTCCTGTCATTGGTTTGTGTGCTTTTTTGGTGCATGGTTGCCTTCATTGCAATTTTTGAATGTGAGCAGGTGAAATGATATCTATTTAAAGAGGTTGTGCTTGACCTAGAAAGATTATAACTAATGGCCACTTGGTCTGTGTACACACAGATTATTATCATATTATTAATAATAATTGTACAAATATATATTATACTGTACACTGGGAAACAGAGAGTTGCATAAATTGGTTGACTTCACTTCTATTAGATATCAAAGGACTATGCTGAACATTTTATCTGAATGTTTAGTTTGTGCTTTTCTTTTTTTGTAGCGTTTTTCATATATAAAAATATTTTAGATGATATAACCTAATAAAGATGAACAAACCATTTCATATTTTTTTATGAGATGCAAACAATACCATCTAAAGCCCCATTTTTGGTTTCTTTGGTTCCCTTGGTATATTATGTATATATATATATATATATATATATATATATATATTTATATATATATTTAACAAAGGAAAGGTAGCCACTGACTAGGGTTTGTCCAGTGGTGAAGACTTTAATATAGCTAGGAAACATAATAAAGGTCAACGTTATCCTGAGCTTAAACCAAAAGAAGGAGTGCCAGTCAAAATGCATAAAGGAGTCCAAAACATTTTTAGTGATTCACCAGATCAACAACACATTTCATTAATAAAAATAAAAAAAACAACAACAATAAATAAATAAATAAATCAGTAAATAAGTCAAATTAAGTAAATTTCACACATTTCATTGACTAAACATACTCCATATTCATCAGGACTCAGTAATGTTTGCAAATGTTTAAATAGACTCAGGGAATTAGATGCTAGATCAAGTCTCAACATAAGGAATCAGATGGGACAAAATGATGCTAAATAAACAGATGTGGGGGCGTATCTGGCCAGCGTGAGAAATGGTCGCTTGATCCAGAGCTCCTGCTGTCTCCCTTCTCACAGCCGCCACTAACAGTGATCAGGGGAGATTCCTACCTCCCGAATCTCACCCTCAGCTCTTCCAGACCCTACCGGCAGTATGTCCAAGCAGAGAAAACCCACCAAAACATTCCCAGCGTTTCAATGATTTCTACTCTGCAGCGGGACACAGAGGGAAGCAAGATGCTGCCTGCTCCAATCCCGGTGCAGTGACACAGCACCACACAGCCTCACAGCAGAGAGAGCAAGGACTGGAGATACAAGAGGACATGAGTGAGTGTTCCCCTTCTGATACACCCGCAGCCCAGCTAAAACTAAGCAGCGCAGAGAGGATGGCCCCCACACTCTCAAACAGCGGCCTGCTCTCCCCTCAGAATCCTCAGACAGTATGGAAGATCATTCTATTGAAGAATTTCCTGCTAATGACCAGTTTATTTAAAAAAACACAATGAAAAAT